AAAAGCGAATGAACGCGGCAAAACTGCGTTTGGTAAAATGTGAACTTTTGACATGCCACGTTGTCGTAAAACCTCGACGCTTGCTCGTTCGACTATGAAGCAGGACCCCGCGAACCATGCGACCACCGTCAACCTACACTCACACACACCTAAACTCATCTATCCACATGTCCACGCCAAAAATACTATCCCCACATGTCCGGTCTATGTTTCAAAATCGATCCAAACTACCTGCGCAAACTACATAATATTGACGGGCTCTTGGGATCTATAATGTCTATTACAGACGCCTTGCAAACTACCGTGAACGACCAACTGTAGCAGAATGCGCTGCACCACACGGCCTCAAACCACCAAATCGAACACCTTCGCAACACAAAGCACGGCATGATTGCACAGCAGCTGTACATGGCACCGAATCACCAATCGGATCCCGACGCAGCACGCACGATTTGCTCGAATAGTGCAAGGGCAAGCGGATTAACAGAACTGACACAGACATGGGCACACGTACGCGCAATCACGTGTGTTTGTCCGCTGCGGCGCGGCAGGAGCGGGCCGCTCGCGCATCGAACAAACCGAGCTACGGCGTTGCGAGTTGTCCCGCCTGCAGGAGATTGGATGGGGGGGGGAGAAAGGGAGGACGGCCGCAGAGACAGGAAGAGGGGGAGGGCGCACTCACGCGGCGAGGCCGCGGGGGGCGCGCGGGGCGGCCGCTGTCGGGGGGCCCTGGCACTGGGGCCTTCGGTGGATCTCCCTACGGGGCTACGAAACGTATGAGGGGTGTGCCGAACTGGCGCGGTGGAGGACATGCGGACGGCAGAGGCAGGGACGAGAGGAGGGAGGAGGGGGAGGCAGAAGGACGGAACGCGGGGAGCTCTCTCTTCAAGACGAGGACCCGACACCACAAGATGGCCCGGAACAAATGAAACCAAGAACAGACATCCAGATAGTCGGGTGCAGTGCCCCACGCCCTCCCGGGCGCGCCCCCCCTCCCCGTCCAGACCCCCCCCCCATGCCGCCCCAGTCGCAGCCCCCGGCGCCCGCCCGAGCGCGGCGGCGGAGTCGCGCGGCAGCAGCTGGACATCCGAGCGCGAGGCACACGGCACCACGCGGCACCACGCAAGCAGCGGCTCTCAGCCTTGCCACCGCACCACCTGGCCATCGCTCGGACGTACATTTCCTGTGTTTTTTTCGGTTTCGTGCGTGTTTTTTTCGCCAAATTGTCGAGGATGCTCCTCGATGGTCCTCGCCGAAGGAAAAAATGCACACGTCCGAGCGATGCCAAGACCACGGCACGGGCACTGGTCCGAGAGTTTGCGGGCACGGCAGCACGCGGCACCACGGAGGGCAACAGATGATTGTTCGTGGGCTTGTCGCATGCACGGTAGCGTGAAAGGGCCTGGCGGTGTTCCCTGATTGCAGTCAGAATCTTTAGTAAGGACGCGCTGTGAGGACGCCCCAGTTGAAGTTTTTTAGCGTCGCACTGCCGAACCAATCTAAGGACGCAAGAGTGCCTTCGGGAAGGTTGCCCGTCCATACTATGGATTTTGACTGTAGTAGAATAAAGCCAAAACATCCCCCTGTAGCTACATCCCTCGCCCAGACATGCAAGACCTCTGTGACTGCAAACTGAGCGTATGAGGTGGCCTCGCTCAGCCCACCGGTGCGCAGTTGCTATCACGAAACGCGTCAGTGAAAACCTTGCAACGAAACGCTCATACCGTGCAGCGAAACTGGCGGGATGCAGGGCATGCACTCTGCACGCAACCTGCACTACTCAAAACTGCCAAGCTGGGGCTTATTGGTCCGGGTACGGGTCCGAGAACGCTGAGGTTTGGACTCTGACGTCGTGCGCGGGAACGGGATCTGCAGACCGTTGTGGAATAGGGCGGGCTTGTAATCTTCTGGTACGTCCTGCTTGCGCATGACGGCGCTGTTCTGATATTTCACCACATTCGCATGCAGTCCCTGCACTTCTCCCCAACATACGGCACACACTTTGCGGCATCCCGATGCTGCCCATGATGCGAAATTGTGAAAGACATTCGAAAATCGCAATGCGTTTTCATAAGTCGTCAAGTTCACAAACGCAAAGCCGAAGTTGCACCTAGACGCGAAGTCCATTGGGAGATCCAAGAGCCCCCCTTGTGGGGGCTATCAGGGTGCGCGGATGAGGTCTCAGCAGCTGAGAAGCTAAGTTACCACGCTTGTAACGAAGCAATTCGCAACATCACTTTCTCCTTGGGTAATCAGAGGCTTCCTTGATGGAATCTGGGTAGATGGGGTCGAAAGATCGCGCCGCATCGCCAATGCATCGTCGACACCAGCGATGCATCGGCGACGTCGGCGCTGAGATCATCGGGCTCCACATCAAGCCGCATCGCCATTGCATCGGCGATGCACCGCGATCCTCCGACCATCCGCGAAACCTAGATTAGAGCCGCAACGACTTGCCAACCGTGATTTGCTAGTCACCAGCTCTCGGAGCACAGAGCTGCTCAGCTTCCAAGGAGATGACATTTCCCAAAGAAGCGCGCGACTCCCCTCGGCCCGAAAGAGGGCCTCCACCTTCCTCGAATCACGTCCCCTCGAGATCCCTCGACAAAAGCCGCTTCGCACCCGCGCTCCCGAGGCCACGATCCAAAAAATAGCCCGCGCTCCCGAGGCCGCGATCCTTCACACAAGAAACAAGACAAGGGTCCGCTCCTTCGAACTCGCCAGCCACCCAGCCGCCCCTCAACCAGTCCGCAATCCTGCGAACCAGCCTATGAGCCAACCAACTAGCATTCGGTCGGGCGTGTCCCCCTACAGGCAGCTCTTGGACGAAAAGCAAAACAATAGCCACAACATACTCAAAAACGCCCCGAAATACTCAAAAATAGTCCCCAGACTATGTTTTGACTATTCTTGAATATTCCCCCTGTAGAGGGACATGCCCGACTCAACACTAGCAAGCCTGGCAACCGTCCATCCAGACAGCCAGCCAGCCAGCTGAGTCGCCAAGCTGCGAACCAGTCAAGCTATCAACCGACCAACCCCCTCGGTGCGCGGACAAAAAGTGTCCACACCGAGGGCGGGAAGGCGAGGCAACATGATAACAACCACAACTGCGAAACGCCCTTGCTTCGCACCCCTCCCCCCCCAAAACCCGGAGCTGAAGCGTCCACTCTCTGTCCCTGGCCTCTGGCCTGCCGCCCAAACCCGTCAACTTTGAATTCAGGGGGAGGGGGGTGCACATGTTGGTCCGACGTGCTCTCGTGACTCGAGGCCTGGCGTGCGGCACGCGTGGACACTTCTGGCCCACCCGCCGCTCGACCCAGCCCCTCCCGTTTGGACGCCCGAAATGGGCACGGAAAGAATGGGTACAATTCCCAACAACTGATGTTGTCCCAAACCAACAGCGGCCGCTGTTGGGCAGGCGGCCTTCTGTCTCGAATGGACACAGGCCGCGGCGGCGTGGACAACAAGTCCTGGTCAAAATGAACAGGAACGGCTGTTGGGCATCGTACCCATTCTTTCCGTGCCCATCTCGTTCGTGCAGATCCCGGCAACCCGAGAGGGGGGGCCGCCGGCAGAGGGCGAGGCCCCCCCCAGCTTCGCGTGCGGGCCGCTTGAGCAGGCCCGAGAGGCCCGCTGCCAACGGTCTCGACGACTCCCCGCACAGTCGTCGGCCTGACCTAAGGAGCGGCAAGCGAGGAACGAAGCCCCTTTTCGTCCAGGGAGTCATCGCAGAAGGAGCGATGATCAATCCATGACGCATGAGGAGCGGTACATGGACGCATGCAAGCCTGAGGAACGACCGAGCCCCTCTTGAAACGCAAGTGTTCCTTGTTCAAGCCGCTTGCTGTACCCCCTCCGCCGGCTCTGCCCCCCCCCCCGCTGCTGACCGCCCCCGCCGGCAGCTGAACTGTTTTCCAGCCGGGGATCCGGGCGGCTTGGGTGGCTTCATGTTCGGCCCCGACGGCCCAAGAAGGCCCCAAGAGGGCCCGAGGGCGGTCCAAGAGGTCCAGGGGACGGCGCAAGAGGGTCTCAGACGGCCTGGGATCTCCTCAAGACTACGCAAGAGGCTCCCAATAGGCCCTAACAATGCTCTAAGACGGCCCTGGGAGGTAAATTCCGACCCAATTCTTCAGGAACGCGTGCTTACTTTCCATGCTCGCATTTTGGTCTTACCAGCGCGCAAGACGACCCAAGAAGCCCCCAAGGTCGCCTCCAGACGGCCCAAGAGTCCGGCTCCACGAGGGCCCCAATGCGGCCCAAGAGGCACCCAAGAGGCGCCCAAGACGGCAAGATGGCCTCCAGAGAGGGCCCCAAGAGGGGGAACTCGACCTGACATTTCGAGCCCTCCGCCCCAAGTGGACCGCTGAGACCGCCAGCGGGCCCCGAAAGGCACAAAAGAGGAGGCCTCCAAACGGCCCCCAAGCGGCCCCTAAACTGCCACCAAGAGGCCCCTGGGAGAATCCCCAGAGGCCCCGCGTAGGTCCACGAGGACCCACATAACTTCGGCTGCCCCGTGGAGCTCCAGCCTGTCCAGACGTTGTGCCGCGAAGCGCTGTGGATAGAGAAGATCGAACTGCCCTGCGAAACCCTTTTCCTCAAGCAAATCGATCAGTTTGGCTCGTGAAAACGTGGTGGGTAGATTGCGCATCATCACGGTGGTCCGCTGGTCGTCGATCGAGACGATCTGACTGGTCGCTCCCTTCGGGACGAATAGTGCCGCCTTGCCGTGGATCAGAAAGAGCAGGTCGGAAGCCCACCCAGGGATGAAGGCATCCAGGTCCCAAAAGACTTGTGGATGCCATGACAATGGACACCCTAACAGTCCTATCATTGAACAAGAAATGTATTCAAAAGGTCGGAACACTGTTTTCATGTTCGAAACATGTTTTACATGTTTAAGACAAATTATTTGGCGACATGCTTCCTCTCCACCGATCGTCGTCCACAACCCAAGACCCCCGGTGCGCGAGCGGTCTCCAGTGGGGCAGCTTCTCGGCCTACAAGATCCCGATTGCCGCTGCGCTCCCCACCATCTCCAGTTCTGCCTCTGGGCAAGAGAGCCTAGAATCGAAGCGATAATCGGATCGGCGATCGACATGAATCCGATTGGCAGGAATCGACAGCCGAGTCGGGAAACGTCGAATCGGCAGACATCGGTAGGCTAGTATGACTCCATTAAGAAATCGAAACCCAAATCGGCATCCCAAGCCGAATCGAATCGGAATCGGAATTCATCGAAATCGAATCGAGTCAAATCGGAGGAATCGGAACGAGCCCTGTGAAGGCCCCCAGGTTCCCCAAGACCCCCGATGCGCGAGCGGGCTCCAATGGGGCAGTTTCTCAGTCTACAAGATCGCGATTGCGACGCTGCGCTCCCCACCGTCCCCATTGTGAGCGTGTTTCTTTACTCGGCGTTTCGACATTGGGCGGCAAGGGGGGACGGGGGAGGTCTGGCTCTGGACCTCTGCTTAGTGCGACTGTTTGCAAGAGTGCTGCCTCTGGGGGAGACTCCACCCGCTCGAAACAGGCGCCAAAAAACAGCCAAGATCTACTCCATTGGCGGGGGGGAGGGGGGTTTGGGGGCCCGCGCCGATCGGCAAAACATAGAATAAAAAACGGTCACATTCTGCCTCTGGGCTGCTCTGACTGATATGCCGCAGCTCCTCGACCTCCCGCCACCCGTGCACGTTTCGATTCCGTGCGTGCTCCTCTTGCCAGATTATCCAGGGTGCTCCTCGCCGAGGGAATGCACACATCCGAGCGAGCCAAGCCCATCCTCCTCCTCCTCCTCCTGCTCCTCCTCCTCCTCCTCCTCCTCCTCCTCCTCCCCCTCCTCCTCTTCCTCCTCCTCCTCCTCCACCTCCACCTCCTCCTCGCCCTCCTCATCTTCCTCCTCTCCCTCTTCCTCCTCCAGTGATTATATGACTCGCCACCCTGGCGAAGATCCTAACCCCTGTGCAGCTGCGTGCTGTGCGGGGGCGCGGCCCTCTCCTAACACACAGCGCGCGGCGGGCAGTGTGCAATGGTAGGCTTAGGTCGGGCAGGTCCCCCTACAGGCGGAATTTGGACGAAAACAAAAATAGTCAAGCATACCCCAAAATGGTCAAACAATAACTAAAACATCGTCCCCATACTATGTTTAACTATGTTTGAGCTTCCTCCTGTACAGGGACAGGCCCGACTTAATGGTAGGTGGCGAGCGAGGGGGGAAAATGAGAAGGGGCTGGCCTTCTCAGAAGGCTCGGAGGTCCCAGGGCTTCCGATAAGTTTCCTAAGCCTTCCCCGAAGCCACAATTACTCCGACGGTATGACCCCGCATGAAAATCTGTTTAACTTGCCTGGGGATCAGCTCCTGCCCCATCCCTTATCCCACCTACTCCTGCCTCCTCCTTCTCCTGCCTGCTCCCCCTCCGGCCTCAACCTCTGCCTCCTCCTCTCCTTGCCTCATCCACCACCACCACCTCCTCCTCCTCCTCCTCCTCCTCCTCCTCCTCCTCCTCCTCCTCCTCCTCCTCCTCCTCCTCCCTCCTCCTCCTCCTCCTCCTCCTCCTCCTCCTCCTCCTCCTCCTCCTCCTCCTCCTCCTCCTCCTCCTGCTCCTGCTCCTGCTCCTCCTCCTGCTCCCCCTCCTCCCTCCTCCTCCTCTCCTCCTCCTCCTCCTCCTCCCTCCTGCCTCATCTTTAGTCCTCCTGCCTCCTCCTGGGGCCTGTCGGGGCCTCCTGAGCCTTCTGGGCCTATCGGGACCCCCTGGGGCCTTCCCTCCCTCTCCCCCTCCCCCTCCCCTCCCCCTCCTCCTCCTCCTCCTCCTCCTCCTCCTCTCCTCCTCCTCCCTCCTCCTCTCCTCCTCCGCCTCCTCGCCTGCTCCGCCTGCTCCGCCTCCTCCGCCTCCTCCGCCGCCTCCGCCGCCTCCGCCTCCTCCGCCTCCTCCGCCTCCTCCGCCTCTCCGCCTCCGCCTCCTCCTCTCCACCTCCGTCACCGCCTCCGCCTCCCTCCTCCTCCTCCTCCTCCTGCTCTGCTCCTGCTCCTGCTCCTGCTCCTCTCCTCCTCCTCCCTCCTCCTCCTCCTCCTCCTCCTCCTCTCCTCCTCCTCCCACTCCCCCTCGTCCTCCTCGTCCTCGTCCTCCTCCTCCTCCTCCTCCTCCTCCTCGTCCTCCTCCTCCTCCTCCCCCTCCTCCTCCGCCTCCTCCTCTTCCTGCCTCCTCTTTGGTCCTCCTGCCTTCTCGTGGGGCCTCCTGGGGCCTGTTGGGCCCTCCTGGAGCGGGCCCCACAGGGAGGGGGCTTCCGCCTGAGACTTCCCCGCAATTCACTCACGGACGAGGCTCCTGCCGGATACCTCCTCCATATTCAAGCCTCAGGGGCCCAACAACGACGACAGTTGCAGGAAACCGATGACCCGCTTGGATTACGCACATGAGCTGCGGGCCCCATAGGGAGGGGGCTCTCGCCTGAGACTTCCTCGCAATTCACTCACAGACGAAGTTACCGCTTCGTACGTCCTCCATATTTAGGCCTCAGGGGCCCCAACATGACGACAGTTGCAGGAGGCCGATGACCCGCACGGATGACTCACATGAGCTGCGGGCCTCATAGGGATGGGGGCTTCCGCCTCAGACTTCCTCGCGATCCACTGTCGAACGAAGCCCTCGCCTGATAATTTCTACATTTTCAGGCCTCAGGGGCCCAAAAGTGACGACAATTGCATGAGGCCGATGACACGCTCGGATTACTCATATGAGCTGCGGGCCCCACAGGGAGGGGGCTCTCGCCCAAGACTCACACGAGGTTCCCGCCTGATACGCCCTCAAAATGAATGTGTGCGCGTGTGAGTGATGATGCTTGTGAATGATGATGACGATGTGAATGATGATGCTGGTGCTTGCGATGTGAGTGGTGATGTTGATGACGATGTGAGTGGTGATGATGCTGGGGACGGTGGTGATGATGGTGTGAATGATTGAGTGAATGATGATGGTAATGACGCAATGCATCATGATGACGTTGATGGTGATGTGTGTGAGTGAGTGGGTGGTAGGCGGTGAGTGAATGTGTGAGTAAAGGAGTGATGATGCTGAGTAAATGTGAGTGCGTGGGCGAATGAGCGAGCGTGCAGGTGATGATTCTGTAGGATTGATGATGACAATGTGAGGCGTGTGCGTGTGTGAGTGAGCGAGTGAGTGTGTATGTCGTGAGTGAGTGGGTGAGATGAGAGGGTGTGTTCTATTGTTCCTGCGCGGGGTGTCCAGAGAAAACCATAACCCTACTTTGGAGGTGGTGAGAAAATCTGCGTTGCCAGAGGCTCACGCAGTTGACTAGGCCAGGGGCTCTCGCCGTCGACTGAATGATAACCAACTGTGCGGCCAGAGGCTCGCACAACTGACGAGGCCAGGGGCTCTCGTCGACTGGGTGATAACCAACTGTGCGGCCAGAGGCTCGCACACCTCACGAGGCCAGAGGCTCTCGCCGACGCTGGCTGGATCATACAGGAATCGTACGCGGCCAGAGGCTCGCTTTTACCTAACGAGGCCAAAAGCTCTCGCCTCGCTTAATGCGGCGCCCGCAACCCGGTGCGGCCAGAGGCACGCGCAGATGTCGATGCCAGCGGCACTCGCGGGACCACTGTTTTGGATCCGCAACCAAGACGCCCCAATAGCCCCCCCCGGGATGATCCGCTCGGACTACTCACAGGAGCTGCGGGCCTCATAGAGGGGGGAGGGCTCGTGCCTGAGACGTCCTAGCAAATCACTCACAAACGAGGCGACCATACTTCTCCCATATTCAGGCTCAGGAGCCCAGAAAGGAATGACCCGCCCGGGGTAATAACATGATTTGCGGGCTCCGTAAGGAAGGGGCTCCCGCCTGAAACGTCCTCGCGATTCGCTCACAGACGAGGCTCCCGCTTCATACTTCCTCTGTATTAAAGCACCTGGAGCCCCAAAGAGTGACGACAATTGCAGGAGGCCGATGACCCGATCGGATTAATAAATGAGCTGCGGGCCCCATAGGGAGGAGGCTCCCGCCTGAGACCTCCTCGCAATTCACTCACAGACGAAGGCTCCTGCCTGATACAACATCCATATTCAAGGCCCTGGAGCCCAAAAGAGGCGACAGTTACAGGTTTCCGATGACCCGCTCGGGTTAATGGCATGATGAGCGGGCCCCGTAGGGAGGGGGCTCTCGCCTGAGACTTCCTCGCGAATCACTCACAGACGAGGCTCCCGCCTCATACTTCCTCCATATTCAAGCCTCAGGGGCCCAACAACGACGACAGTTGCAGGAGGCCGATGACCCGCTCGGATTAATAACATAAGCTGCGGGCCCCATAAGGAGGAGGCTCCCGCCCGAGACTTCCTCGCAATTCTCTCACAGACGAAGCTCCCGCCGTATCCTCCTCCCAGATTCAGGCCTCGGGAACACAAAAAGGACGACAATTAAAGGTTGCTGATGGCCCGCTCGGATTAGTAATATGATCTGCGGGCCCCATAAGGAGGGGGCTCTCACCTGAGACTTCCTCGCAATTCACTCACAAACGAGTGAGTGAGTGAGCGAGTGAGTGAGCGAGTGAGTGAATCAGTGATGATGATGATGATGATGATGATGATGATGATGATGATGATGATGATGATGATGTTGATGATGTTGATGATGATGATGATGTGGTGGTGATGATGACACTGTGAGGTGTGTGCGTGTGTGAGCGAGTGAGTGTGTATGTGGTGAGTGGGTGAGTGAGAAGAGAGGGTGTGTTTTCTTGTTCCTGCGCGGGGTGTCCAGAGAAAGCAAGAACCCCACTTTGGATGGGGGAAACACTGTTCGGAAGGCGCGAGGGTCTCTGAGACGTCCCGCCGCCTTCTGCGAAGGCCCTCCCCTTCTCAATTCCCCCCCTCGCTCGCCGCCGAACTGGGCGCCACGGCGCAACTGCACCAGGGCGCGCGGAACTCCCTGTAGGGACGACGCGCGCGAGGGGTGCGCCGAGGTGGGCGCGGCGCCCCCTGTGCGAGGTGGCCCGCAGAGTTCGAAGGGCGAGGGCTCCCACGGAGAGCGATCCGCGCGAGGAGTGCGCGCGAGGCGGGGCCGGCGCCGCCACGCGAGCTGGCCCACGGAGGCCGTAGGCGGAGCTCCCCCCACTTGCCACAGTGGTGCGCCGAAGTGGGCGCGGCGTCGCTGTGCGAACTGCCTCCCTGAGGCAGTTCCGTTACATGGTGGAACGAAGCGCGAGAGGGGTGTGCCGAGGTAGAGCAGGAGGCAGGGAGGTGAGGAGGAAGGAGGGGGGGGTCGGTGAGGAGTTGGGGCGCGACACTGCGGATCCAAATCGAGGGCCCAACGACCCGAGGAGAGCTGAACATTGGCCATTGCCCTCCTGGCCCCGCCCACCTGGGGATGTACCTCTCTTCCGCTGACCCCTTTGAAAACCCAGGACCTTCGAGTTCAAGGGCGTGTACGGGGTGCCCAGATTCCGAGGAGAGAGCTCGTCTTCCAGCTTCACGATTCGCACTTGCACGGGGCTCATCTCCCTGCTAGAGGGAGCCTGCCGACAGTCGTCCGCAGTGGAGAAAGAATCATCCGAGATGGTAGAGGTCGAAGCGGTAGAGTCGATCTCCAGCTGGCTGTGGATCCACATCGGAAGTAGCGGATTTGCAGCGGTCTCGGCATCCCCGCCGCACGGCACGTCCTTCTTGACCGATGCGGCAGAGAGGAGGCTCGACGGGAGAAGGCGACCTCCAGGTGGGGTCCCTTCATTCAATGCGCTGACCTCCGTCATGGAGGACGCGTCTCGGAACATGGAGCCAGTCGGAACACCGATCTTCAAACAAGACGGTCCGTACCTTGTAAATCTTAGCTTGATGCTGGCGATAGGCCGTGAATCGCACCCCACGCCGGCTTGAGCCAAATACGCAAATGCATACTTTTCACCGAGACACGGAACCACCCACCTAACCAGCAATCACTCCTCTTCGCTCTGAAACATCTTGGTGGCTCCTATTGATGCGTCGGCAAAACGGAAGAAAAGCAGCATCAGCAGCTTGCCAATATGCATTACAAGAGTACTCCCTGTGGGTCCGACCTGACACACTGGTGCACAGCAGTACTCAGGACAACGTGCGTAGAAAGAAAAGGATAGCAAGGAACTCGAGGTTGGTCCCGACTGATCGAACATGACGCCTGGAACTCTCAGAAAAGCACGACTATGCCGACACATGACTGCTACACGAAACGAACATGAGACGCGGGCCTACGCCAAGATGATACGCAACGCTACTTCTAGAACAACTAACACGTTTACCACGACCAATACGACAACACTACTACACATACCGCTACATCGATCACTATTTGCATTGCGAACATTACTTTTACTGCAACTACTAATACGGCGACGGCAGCAGCGGATACTACGACTACGCCTACAAGCAATAATATTATTAGTAGTATTATTCGTACAGCTATTTTGATCCGTACTGCAACCATTGGGAACGCTGCTACGACTGGTGGCACTCCAAAATGTTAATGTCACTCTACAAGCGCGTGTGCGCTGTCGAACAGGTTTTCACCTAACTCTCGAAATCCAGAATAAGCTCAGAGCTTTGCCTATACCACCAGTGGCTTCCCTTGAGTCCAGTCCACTATTCGAGCTATGACGAAACAACTCGTCTTACTCCACAACTGCTCTTTATTCTGCATCTGCTCTGCTGCGTTGCGCGGTCTGTTTGGTAAATTTCGAGATGAACCGAACTCTCGAGTGCATTACACAAACACTAGTAACAACCTACAACCGGTTTTGCTCAGTTGATTGGTTTCTGTCCTGCATGATTCACGGCGCGTTTAGATCTGTCTGCCTGAACGCGGAAACAACAAGTACGTCTGCCTTTCTGCCCTCAGTGAACTCGGCCTCTAGGAGTCATGTTGCTCCCATCGTACTTGAGGACCACATCTCAGAAATCATTTCGAGCACCAAGAAAAGTATCGAAACAATGTCGAACGAGTATCACCTCCCCAAGGCCAGACACGTGAAATCTCTCAAGTTCCGGCACTTTCTTGGTGCTCGAAATTCTCTCGAAATTCTCTCTGGTGGTTAAAGCTAAAGTAGGTTGGAACATCATACCTTGCTCTTCTCGAAAAAACAGAACATGTTACAGCCCGATTGCCGTTTTCACGACGGCCATGACAAGTGATTGGGAGCTCGAATGTTCACCGCCACCGCCCAACAACTGCCACCCGGTGCACCCAATGGCGTGTTGGTAGGGCGGACCGGGCGTTTCGCCTGGGACTTCATTAACACCAATGGTCCGAATGACTTCCGCGATCGCGCATTACTCTTTTTCTTGTCGGGGCTTCGGCGGACTGGCTCAAGCAACTTGAATGAAAAACTCGTTTCTGGCGCACATCCAAACGTGTCAGTAGGTCCGACTGGGCGTTTCGCCTGAGACTGATCCTGCAGCTTGACATCTGCAGCAAATTCAAGGATGGAGGGCGGGTGGTTTAAAACATGTGGCTCTCGATTTAGCGCCGCACAAATTCGTCTTATAAGTTTGCAACCGCTTCGCGGATGGAGGACAAGTGGTTTTCAACAAATGGCTCTCGCCTTGAAGCCGCGCGCATTCGATTCAAAACACACGTGCACCATTATCAGAGATGAAAGGAACATCCTTTTCAAAATGTGGCTCGCGCCTCAATCGCTGCGCAAACTCGCCTTAAACGTTCGCGAAGATTCAAGGGATCGTATGGCTGAAGTCCCAGGAACCGCAATCTGACACGATCAAAAACTGTCAGGTCGCAATAATCACGGTGACTCGCTGCGTCTAAGTCCAAGTCCAAGAAATGGTGCGACGTAGGATTGTCACGGCGCAGCAGTCACTCTGCTTCGCGGCGTTGAAATCCCATGGAATGCGTTTTGACGCGCTTGAGGTTTCTAAGACAGTTGTCTTGGAATGGGCCACTTCCCGCAACGACGGCACATTCTTGTATGGGCATATGGACAGGGAACTTGGAAGGGGCAATTTATTACAACATCCTCGATGCGTTTTTGGGTAAACAATAGGGCCCCCTCCTCCTGCCCCTCCTCCGGCCCCCGCCTCCTCCCTCCATCCCTCCTTCCGCTTCCTTCGTCGCCGCCATCGTTGTCGCCGTTGCCTCGCCTGCTTTAAATGACCCCACTGCAAATTCCAGATTCTACCCTGCGTTCTACGCAAGCTCCGCGAGCTCCCGTCTTCGCTGGCCGTGACGGCTAGAACTCCAGCCTACTATTCGGCGCGAGGCCCGAGCTGGACGAATGGGGGAAGGTCGGCAAAGGGGGCCGCGAATCACAACTGGCTTTCAGGTCCCCTGGCGCGGCAAGCAACCGTGTCTCGAGGAAGGCCCGCGGTGGCGGAGCCGAAGCCGGCTGCCCGTGGCAATTCTCGCACCTTCTCTCGGTTTCAATTTCAATTTCAATTGCTACTGAAGACCCATGTGAACACAAGCTACAGCTGAGAAGAGAAAAACCGAACACTCCTCGACAAAAGAGAACACGCAAGAATATTAGTCGCTCTCCCCGTCCCCACAAGCCTCCCCCTACCCAAGAGAAGAAAGCTGCTGGGGCGGCCCTAGCTGCAGGATCGTGCCAGGCAAGCGGCCCTTAAGCAGCTTCTGCCGCTCGGAGCATTTCGCCCAGGGCCTACAGGGGCCAGCGAGCCTGTCACCCACCTTCGCGGTGGCGAAACCTCCACGCCCGCGGCGTCAAATCACAGGCATGTCAGGGCCAATGATCAAACTCACCTGAAAAGAATGTTCCTGATGGGTGTCAGCCAACGCCAAGTCTAAAAGAGTTAGGTCGCAAGCCGTGCGACCCCTCCTGGTCCCAGGACCCACTCGCCTCAGGCAGCGTCTGCGCCGCTATTCTGACGCCGATCTCCACCTGACAAAACTCATGGGTGCATGGGGGGGAGCACGTTGGAATCACGCTCAACCGCACTTCTGCAAATGTCACCGACGTGCTCCTGAACCGTCGTCCGCTCGGCCAAGCATGTCGCCATGCCCCTCGCCAGCTTAGGATAGGCTTTGAGGGCCAGCTGCGTAGTCTCCGACTCATTGGTCGAAAAACGAAGCTTCATGGGCAGTTCTCTTGGCGCGATGGTATGCAAGCCTATTGCCTGCAATAAAAAAGGCGTCAATATCGTCCACGGCCTGGGGTTCACCTCTGCAGGCTTTCCCGCGAACGAAACGAACCGCCCGCTCCGGACCAGTCGCGCGACTCATGGCACTCCAGAAATGAGCCCAGCTGCACTTTGGGTCGAAGACATAGGCCGGGCGGCTTAGCAAAGCCTGGCAATCGACGTGGAGCTCGGATGTCTCCACGCCGTCCTCGCTGGAAACACCAGCCAAGACCGCTCCTGCGCGTATCCCCGAAAGCGCTGTCTGGGCGGCATGCCTGCGTGCAAACGTTTACTTCGACTGCCATCGTCACCCACTTGGACAACAGCACATCCAGCGCGGCCCAGGGCCCACGCAAAACGAGGGTGGACACAGCTCCCGCCCGAAAACAAACGGGCCCCTGGAGCAACATTAAAAAGTTCGACCGAATCTCCGTTTTCGCCGAAAAAACTTCACGTGCCAGCTAGAACCTGGCGTGGTCAAATCGAAACAAGACGCCCGTCCACGCTTGAAGAGGGTGCGCCCATCGCTGGCCCCCGCGGCCTGTCGGACCATAGGGCCTAGCTCAGTCTCTCGCGCTACCTGGCTGCGGCTGCGCGCCCAGACTCGGTGCCGCGCCGCGTCTGGGCGGCCGCGATGGATGCAATTCTCTTTGAGGTGGGGCCCAACCTGCAGAGTTTGACTCTGGTTGGTAAGCGGTCGCAAAAAACCTGGCGGAACAAGGGCGCCCCCCGAGCGCTGAGCTCCAGGCGGCGAGAAGCGAGAACCTTGCGAGTTAGTTCCTGCCAGAACCCTCGAGATGTGATATCGGGCCATCCAGGTCCAGATCGATGCATTTTCTCGCCCATCGCTCGTCGGATCAGCGTGCTCTTGAGCTGGCCCGCAAAACGTTCACGCGCATGGGCGGGGCTTAGCGTGGTGAAGATTATTTCAACCCCATCGACAGTCTCGAAAACTAGCAGGTCCTCGGGCACCCCACCCAGCTTCGAACAACCAGAGAATCGCGTCCGAGATTGGACCCTTACTTTAAGCAACCACCTCTGTGTGGTGGGCTTCAAAGATACGACACAATGCAGAATGAAACGTTTTGCTGAGGATACTCGCAAACAGGGTATCTTCGAGCACTCGTTGCTCATCGTGGCCGGGGTGTCGATGGCATTCACCATTCTTCAGCGCATCGGGCCCGCGGCGTGGCCGACGCCCGACGGGTCCTTCGCCCCGGAACACGCCCGAACCAGGTCAGTCGCACCGCCTCGAATAGACGTGCCACTGGCCCGAGCTGCTGCCGAACGCACTAGTTTCACTTGGCGCGGGGGGGGCCCGACGACCCCCTTCCGCACGCGAGGGCAGGTTTTAACTTGGTTTGGGACTGGCGGCCCGAGAGTTGCTTTCGATCTGGAGGGCCTGCATCTTCTTCCGACGCCGGTAGAACTTCCGAAAGAGCTTTCTCCAAATACTCATAGCCGAGAGGCCTCGACGGGCCTGGCCCCCAGTGAACTCAACTCCAAAGCGATGGGGGGCTGTGCGCCCCTCCCCCTCCCGGCCCCCCCAAAACTTTTTCTGCCCGGCGCAGTGCCTGGGGGCTGGTGGCCGTCGCGCCGAATTTCTCGATGGCCATTGGGAGGTAGAGCCTGTCCTGATGGCATCGAGGCA